GTAATTTTCGTGAGTAATAAAAATGTAAATTGTGCTGTCGCAGATTCATGATTATGTAGATTGATTATACACCTGCCATTTTTTTATTTTGGACAACTAGAAAAAGCAGAATGATGCCAATTGGAGACATTTTTTTACGTAATACCATTCGATAACTGGAATAGTTTTTATTCTATAAAATTCAAAAATATTCCATATTTTTAAGCGTCCATAGGGAACAACTCCCTTAAATACATTTCATAATTGTCTTTTACCAGTAATCGGAAAATTTTGAATTTAAAAGAATGAATGGATCCACTACTTGGTTATTGGCATCTAAAATTATTTTCATCGATTTAATATAACCATGGAAGGAGAATTGTGCGTGAATCACACGCGTAGGCGCTGTTCCCTAATCTTTTTCTTTTTCTTCATGTCCAATTTTACTTCCTTTAATATGTACTACTATTTCCATCTCTTTCTCTTTCACTATCTTTTTCTTAACAGGAAAAACCAGATTTTTATTTTCACCCTTTAATCAAATAGAACTTGTTTCTTATCTGCATATTAATTTTATAATGAACAATCATCATTCCTTGTTATTGTTCAATAAAGTGCAACTTACAAGCAAACTTTTCATTGCATATTTTCAACAGCATATACAGAGTTGCTGATGCTACTGGGACAAGTTGTACTTTTAAAACAGTTCAAGATAGACGTCCTAACGCAGAATTGAATAATAATACGTTTATTTAAATAAAAAATTTACCAAACTTTTTCATCTCAAAATCTGTATTACAGCTTCTTCTTTCATTATTTATTTAAAAAGTCAATGAAGTGATTAAGAATAGTAGACTATAGAAATATTATACCATTTTGCATGTATTATACTAAGATAGTACATCAGTAAGGATCAAAATTTTAGATTAAAATTGATTTGTACTATTCTTTCCGGTATGTTATTCTATTTAAGACATGCAACGTTGAAATGATTAAGGAAAGCAGAAAAAAAAACGGATTCCTTTTATATTCAAGAAGCACCCTGAACGAACTTTCTTAAGTTCTATCAATTAATAATAGCAATGAAAAAGAAAAGTAGAACTCTTACCTGTAACTGAATATCAGCAATTTTATTCCATGAAAAGTCAAATTCGTTTACAGGAACTCTAACTTGTTTAAGATATCGAAGAAAACCAAGTTCTTCCGGTCGTAGTATTAGTAAGGCGTGACCACTACCACCTTCTCCACGAGCTGTTCTACCAACACGGTGAATATATTCCTAAAACAACATTTAATCCTTATATTTATTATCGATTTAACAATTTTTACACTAACATATAACCCTTACATTTGTAGTCATAAAATTAGTTCTCTGAAATATTATATGCTATTAAGAATTTACCTTGGGATCATCTGGAGGATCATATTGTACAATCCAGTCAACATCTGGTATATCAAGACCACGTGCAGCTACATCGGTACAGAGGAGTATGCCAGAAGAAGCATTACAAAATTGGTAAAATGTTGTTGTTCTTTTCGTCTGTTTCTGTTTTCCCTATTACACAATTAAAACATATAATGTAAAAATACTATGCTTCAGCACCAATCACAAATTTTTTATACCATATGATCATACATGTATACTTAATACTGGCAAATCAATGTAATTCAAAAGTTCATGATGATATTTGACTGACATGCATGAACTGAAGAAAACCATAACTTTTTTCTTTTTGTTCTTCTTTAAGAAAGTAAATAGAAGTAGAAATCTTTTTTCACTTGGACATACAACATAACCTTGTTCTAAACCTTCTACTGTTGCTTTGTCCTTATCATCATCAACACCAACATAAACTGGTTCCTTTTTCAAAGCTAAAGTTGTCAACGTTTCCGTTTTCTTGGTTTGTGTTGCACTGAATAACATTGTTTGTCTTTTTTCTATAATAAAATATGTTTTATTATAATCTTCTATTAACTATTACTAATATTTGAAATATTAAAAAATACTGAACCACTAACTTGGTAAAATATTAATAATCTGTTTAAGTTCTTCTTCAAAACCAATGTCTAAAATACGATCAGCTTCATCAATTACAAGACATTGAAGATTTTTGTACAAAAAGTCTGGTGTGTTTTGTAGATGATCTAATAATCTACCAGGTGTGGCTACCACAATATTAACTCCTTTTGAAAGTTTTTGAGCTTCAGTTTGTCTACTAGCACCTCCCATTAGTAAACCATATGTATGATAATGATATTTCATCAATTCTTTTAAAACTCCAAATGTTTGCATAGATAATTCTCTTGTTGGAGATATAATAATACAACCAGTACCTGCAAATAACGATGCAGTGCAGTACTTAAACTAAAAACATTTTATTCATATTACTCACATACCATTGCGGGGCATAAATTTCAACTTATAAATTAATTCTATAGCTGGTATTAAAAATGCTAAAGTTTTTCCCGATCCTGTTTTTGCAGAACCAACCAAATCTCTTCCTTCTAGTAAAGGAGGAATGGCTTTTGCTTGTATTTCTGTCATATTTACAAAACCCATGTCTTGTATTCCTTTTAATGTGTTTTCACATACTGTTTTTTCTAATACTTTGAAACTTGTATCATTTACTATCTCTAACCCTATTGCAGTCCCAGGTACTATAGGATAAAAGAAAAATTAAACAGATATATAAAGTGATTCACATAATCCATTACATGTTAATATATTTTCAATGAAACAACATCAAAAAATCATTTGGAACTTTCATAAATAGAAAGATCACATAACTGGTAGCGTGTAGTAAAAGTAATGAAGTTCTGTTACAATACATACAATTTGAATTAGAATTGTCTTCTCTTGTACCCTCTTCATTTTTATCACTAACATCTGATTCTGTATCACTACTATCATCATCTTCACTGACTATTATTGCATGTTTCTTTATTTTTTCTGTAACATAGCAGAACATCACATAATATAAATATAAATTATAAAGCAATATATATTACACTCAACTTTTATAGTGTATGAAATATAATGTATAGTGTAATAAAAAAATTAAATTAATAAATCAAAATTTAAGCCAATATTTCTTTTCACAAAATAATTTCACAATCCATAGGTAAAATATTTAAACTCTCACTAAGAGTTTCTCTTTTTTTATTTTACATAGTATTTGCAATTTAATAATTATATTCTTAAGTATTACCTACGTAATTAAAAATGTAAATCTAGATTTACATATTTCTACATATGT